TAAAATCGGTAGATTAATTGGAAGAGATATCCAGGGTTTTAAGTCTTTCTGAGACATACAAAATGGTTTTTTTGGTAGCAAACATTGTCTATGTAACTTGTAAACTGTAACTTATATGCTCCAATTTGACTAGGAATGTTTTAAATAAACTCAATAAATGTTACCTATAGGCCATGCATATAAATATAGAACATTAAGTAAGGATTTACACGCAGTTAATATAGTATATTTCCCAAACTCTACACCCATAAGATTAAAATTCAACACAATAACATTAAATTATGAAACAAAATCCCCTTAAATGTGAAGTAAATTTACCAGAAAAAATATCTTCACTAATATTTATGACGTGAGATGCTTTGCTGATACCACCCCTAGTTATATGGAATAGTCTATCAAAGACATCTGGATGACCATAATGCATACGAACCCTGATGATCATTTCAAATACAAGTTAGACATACTTTTCTTTCATATTTCAATGATTACTCTATAAATGCCATGGAACAACAAATATTCACGATTAATGTGAACTCACTTCAAAGGATTTGCTAGAACACGTTGGCCAAGAGTCACAAAGCTAGATTCCTGATTAGACATGAAGGATGCTAAAGAAGAAACACTGAGAAAATGCACAAGTTTAAAGAGTCAGAAGCCTAAACAAATGAACTCTATAAGGGACAAAATGCCTCTAATACCATACCTTCCAGTAAACACATGCTCCCTAACACCAAGAATAGTAGGGGGGCGAACTCCATGGTCACGGTAAAATTCTTCAAGAAGATTTCTCACTTTCAAAGCATCCTCAAAGTAATTATCCTGTCCACATACAAAGAGAAATAAATAAAAAAATATACTATCAATTTGCCCTGTAAATAACATTCAGGTCAATATCAATATAAAAACAATTAGTCACCTGATTCATATCAATGGTCTGTATTGCATTTCCACGTGTAAATATAATAGCATGATTTTGATTTTCAGGTTTCCCTTCACCAAGCTTTGGATTTCCAGGCAATTTCACAGAATATATTTCCTGTATTGATTCTAACAGCAATTAAAACATTAAAGATGGCTGAAATGGCTACATTTGGCAAATTATTCCGATTTAGTGGAATCTTTCTGTTTATGGATTTTTCCTTGTTCCATTCCTCCAGATAACGTTGCCATGTAGGGGCTTTGATTTAAAAAAGCCATGGTTGTCGCGTCAGCAAGTCGCGCTGAGTTGATGTATAGTAAAGTTCCCATATTTGGCAAATAATTTTAGATTAAATGTCATATTTACCCTTTCCATAAAACCCAACTTCTTCACCTCCTTCATCAATCGTAGATCTATTTTTCCCTAAATCTGCACCGCTGCCTCCTCCAGACTCCATCGCTGCTGCCTCCAGCCTGGTTGGTCTTCATAATCGACTGCGCAGTCCCCATCATCGTTGCCGTCTCGAGCCTCCATTCTTGTCACCACCTCCAGTCTCGTTGGTCTACACTATCGCCGCCTCCTCTGATCTATCCTCCCGCATCCCCGCCGCTAGCTTCCAGTCTCGTCCTCTACCGGATTCAAGAAAGGGAAGCTGGAGTCGTCCCAATTTCGCTTAGATTTTCTCTTCCTCTCTATTTCTTTTCAGATCTGATTTTTCTTCCTTGATGGATTTAATTTGATTTCTTCTTTCTCTTTCTTCTCTTTGTTTTCTTTCATATTCGATTTCTCATTCTCCTCCAATTCAATTTCTTCTTCTTTGGAATTGGACTTTGCCAAAACCTAAACTATAGCTTCAAATCAAAATTTGTGGTGGTATGGTGGTCCAGGCAGCCACAGTTCTTCCCCAACAAGGGCAATGAGGTGGTGGTATTAGTGGAGCCAATTGGGGCACCGCCCCTTTGTACTTTGTTTTTTATCATACATACATACATACATACATACATACATACATACATACATATATATATGTGTGTGTGTGAATATATATATATATATATATATATATATATGTATGTATGTATGTATGTATATATATGTACACACAAAACACACACATATAATAAAGGTAATAAATTAAATATGAAGGTTATAAATTTTGTATAATAACTATGAAGATAAAGGTAATAAATTAAAAAGAAAAAAAGAAACTTTACCAAAAAAATCATTGCCAGAAGCCTAAAAGGAAACTGGAAACAAATTATTAAAAAAAGAAAATTCCTACCAGTAGGTAAGAATTGTAAAATGACTGCCAGTAGGTAAAAAGCACTACCAGTAGGGAAGTAGATAAAAATAGCTACCAGTAGGTAACAACCACTGCCAAAGCCTAGAAACTTAAAACAGAAAGAAAAAAGAAGGGGTAGGGGTATTTGTGTGTATTTGTGCGTATTTGTGTGGGAGAAGGGGTGTATTTACACACAGGGAAAAATCGCTTGGAAAAGGTCTCATTCTCGCGTAAAAATCAAAATGACGAAACAAAACCTTTTCGAATTTCCGCATGTGTATTCATCTCTCTTTTCGATCGGCCATCTCAATCAATTTTACGATCCAGATCGTCGATCGTGCCGATTCCAATGTAATTTGCAATTTTCAGTTTGATTTAGATCGGAAATAGGCTGGCGATGCACGGAATCCTACAATCCGGATCGCGAGTTTGACTACCATGCCCTTCCCATTATTCAATATAGTACTTAAAACTACTGATCTATCTATCTATCTATCTATATCTGTGTGTGTGTGTGTAAACGTATACATATACATAGTACCTAAAAAAATTTATTCCCTAAATAGAATTTAATTATAGTACCTAAACCCCTATTTTGAAGGATAGATATGGCCGTATGGGCGGGAGAGGGAAAGGCCAGTTCTAAACTGCAAACTATAGTTACCGGAGAAGGGTATTTTTGTATTTTTGGACTAATATTAAATAATTAATAAATAATTTAAGTACTATACAGGGAAATTAAAACATTAAGTACTACATTGGGAAAATAGCTATGATTTAGTACTATATAAGTAAATTTCCTTTAAGAAAAAGCATTAGTGTTGCTAGCATCTAGTAATGATATTCCAAACAAAAGATGTTGAATTCCAATGTATTTTTTAACGCAAGAAATACAATGTCAAAAGATCCTTTCCCTTTTTTTAGTTTTGAATGTGTTGACAAAAAATACAATGTCAAAAAATTGATTGTTGCATTTATTTTAGAATGAAGTACTTGTTCGTTAACATTAGGCTAACATACTTTGATTCTATTCATTTTGAGCCGAGATTCTTTCAAAGACAAACTACTTTGTATGGGTACAGGTACAGGTAAGGCTAACATACATCTTACCCTCCCACTTGTTGGATACACTGGATTTGTTGAGCCCCACGTTGAGGAATAACATGGCTTCTTGATGTTTTGCCTTGAAAGGAGTTAATTATTGTATATATGACAAGGAGAATTCAAACTTATACAACCTCAAAAAAGACCTTACCAGAAGTACTCATTGAAATCATCATAATTTCTCCAAGCTGAATGAGGTGCCCGCCCATTATCATTGTTTCTAGTTTCCTGCAAACATGAAGTTGGTTAGCTAGCTTTGAGCTATCTTCCATCCCTCCCCCTCGGAACAAAATGTCTTTGTATGCAACAAGCTCTCTTAGTTTCTATATCACTAGCTCTCATAGTTTTATGTATATTTATAAATATACACAAGCATGCACATATACATATACATATATTGTCATGATAATGCAATAATGATATACAAAAGATATTTAGCTGGTTTGAGTGAGAGTATCCCCATGTCATTTTCCAAAAACAATAAACAATTAAATAGCAAGCATAGAATGTGTCTCTCCTACACAAATAACAAACCTAAGAATTTTAAAGCAAACTTTAATCCTATCATATCCTCA